TATACTGGTCTTTTAATAAATATAAGGCTAATAATCATACAATACCTTATAATAATAGAAATAAATAATAAGAAGAATAAATAAAATTATAAAGAAATATTAATAATAAATGTATTAAAAATATTAATAATCTAAATTAATAATTGTAATATACATAATAATTATCTGAGTAATAATATATTAAATCTAGATGTATTAAATATATAATGATTATTTGTATATCCAGAATAAAATTAATCTTCTTAAAAATATAATACAAAGCTAATCTATTATACAGATAGTACAAAATGAAAATTTAAACTAAAAGAATCTAAAAGAAAGATAATCCAATCAAAATTGTTATAAATATAGTCTATAATAAGTTCTGAAAATGAAAACTGAATTATTTATAAAAATAAAGAGAATTATAATTATTCTAAAGATTTTCTAGTATCAATAATTACAAGTATTATATTAATACAAGACAAAAATAAATTAAAACTAAAAAAAGTTATAATTACAAAACTAAATTAAGAGTAGATATCTAAAACTAAAATAATTATTATAATTAAAATAAAAAATTTAATATGCTAACTAAACTCTCTAACAGTATCTTTTCAACTATTAGGCAAACAAAGAGTATATATATATCAAAATAAAATAAAGCTTTTATATATAGAAAAGCTTACAAAATCTTCATAAATTAAATAAAAATATACTTAGCTTATTTTAAGTGAAGAATATTTACTATTTATATTTTATAGGCAAGAAAAATATATGATTAATTAGAATATAATCTATTATAATAAAAGAAATAATTAAAAGCAGAATATCAAGATAAAGATCAAAAAAAAATTATAAGTATAACTCAAATATTTTCAAGAATAACTAAATTATTACTATTTAAGTATATTTATTTTATATTTAAGAATAGAAATATTTATATATTTTTAAGATCTTATAGATTTTATCTAAACTTTACTTATAACTTATTTGCTATTCTAGTTTATAATTACAAGGTTTAAAATAAAAGATTAATAAATAATAAGTGAAATAAAGAGATAAAATATATATAAAAATAATATAAATAATAAAATAAAATGAAAAGATAAAATAAATATTCTAAAAAGAAAAGATAATAAAGAAAAATAAATAAAATTTATTACTGAATTATTTTCAAAATATTTCTGAACTGTTAATAAATTATTTATGAATTATTATTAATTTTTAAGCTATTTATATACTTATAATCTTGAAGTATTACTAAAGTATTACAAAAATATTACTGAATTATAACTGAATTTATAATCAATATACCAATTAAATTATTCAAAATCATATACTTTTTATTGATTGATTAGCTAAAAATCTGAAGTTCAAAAATTAAAGAAATTTATATTATTATAATAATAATAATTAAAAATATTAATAATCTAAATTAATAATAAGAGTATATAATAATCATTTGCATAATAATATATTAAATCAATATATAAATGATTATTTATATATCTAAAATAAAATTGATTTTTATAAAAAATAATACAGAAGCTAATTTATAATATAAATAATATAAAATAAAGATCTAAGCTAAAGAGAAATAATTCAATTAAAATTATTACATTAAATTTAAGATATTATAACTTGAAAAATATATTATATTTTAATAATTTTATATATTATTATTTTTAAGATTTATAATAAAATTATAATAAATTAATTTATAACTTATTTTAACTGATAATAGTATAAATAATTAAGTAATATAATTAATATTTCTATTAGAACTTGATAACTTATAAATTTTAATATAATTCTTAAGAAAATTTTTTACAAATGTAATAATAATTATATTAAATTATTTTGATTTTTTATCATGATATTTATTTTATATTATTTATTATCAGATAATTTTTAATAAAATAGTATATTGTGATCTTAATAATTAAAAGATTCTTTTATTAATATATTTTCTTTTAAGATATCAACTGATAGTTATTTTTCTATCATTCATTACTTTTAACTGAACTATTAAAAATATATCTTGTTCTAATTTAGAGCATACTTGAAACATCACACATAATTCAATAAACATCTCTCTTAAAATTATTTTCAAGCAATTACATTTGTAATCTATTTCCAAGTACATAGCTTTTTCATATTCTGTAAAACTGTTATATTTATAAATTTTCATATATGAATAATTCTAATATATATTTTATCATTTTATTAGTTACTTTACTCTATTCAAAATAAAATAGAAAGTAAATGTTAATAATATTCAACAACTACATCCACAAATAAATCAATACAATAAAAGATTTAAACAAAGATTCCTTTTATTTAATTTATATCAGAATACAAGTGCTTTGAATTAGAAAGCAATCAAACACATGTTTTTTTTACAATTAGAATATCTATTCATTGAGATAGATATACAGAGCTGATAGTTGGATATTAAAATCATTATGACAGACTTTTCTAAAAGGTAAATGTCATGAGTCTTTAATGAGTTCTCCCTCTTAACTTCATTAAGCCAAGGTATTATTTTGCTTAAAAAATAAGGATACATTGTTTCTCCTTTTCTCCTTGCATAATCGAAGTCAAGAATGCATATGCGTTTATCCTTGATAGATATCAGAAGATTTGGTGAGCGAAGATCACCGTGAACGTATCCTGCATTATGTAATTTTTTGGCAGCATCAATAGCCGGTCCCAACGCCTCGCACTTTCTACATTGGTTTATAAAGCATCATACAATGAGATAAAGCTGTCTGCTGAAATGTATTCCATAACGATTAGCATCCAACCGCCTGCAAGTGTATTGACAGCGACCAGCTTGGGTGCGATCATTGCATCATGACAAAAACGGTACGACAGAGTGATATTCCCATTCGACTTCTCTGATTCATCAGCTGACTAATGCTCGTGATGGATATCCTTCGATACTGAGTTTATCTTGGACACGATTATATCTTTCTCGAAATATTCGAATTATGCCCAAAATTCATTAATCGACTTGTTCGACGGTCCATTTGTACATCGTGTCCCTGACAAGTATTAATTTAATACGAAGGAATGTCCGCCCAATGGAAAAAAATCAATCCTATGTTTATTTGTCAGAATAATTAAAGCATAAACTGTAATGAATAAACAAAATTTCAATCAATTACTGCCTCATGGCTCATTTTTTAAGAAAATAGCTATTTATCGAATGATTAATCAGACAATGATCTATAAAATCGCGATCAATGTCCATCCTATAATTACAAGTCGCAAAGACTTTCCATTAATAGAGCAATAAAAAAAGAGCGATATTATTTTTCACATTTGGACTATTGGGAAACCTGCAATCGAACAAAGATTGTTAGAAACAAGAAATGCAAATGTAAGGAAACGAAGAACATTCAAATAGAACGCAGCATAAACTCTTCGACATCAGTGACATGCTTCGCATTTCCATTCGCGTCCCACCAGCATGCAACCACACCAATTTTTGTGAAGTTGATATCGTGCCAGAAATGCACAACTCGAAGGCCCCTTTTAAGTTCACTATCACCTGGCCAATAAGGATTCTCGGTTACATTGTCTTCACACGTAAAATGAACGATCCAAGCCTCCTCTGCTGAGAGTTCATTTGCATAAATAAGAACCCGTGAAAAATGTTCGTCGAGCTCGTTCCGTTTTGCTGTTGCCAACAGCTCAAGTACAACCGTTGGATGTTTAGGTGAATCAATAACTAGATCACTATATTTGTGTTGATTACGTCCGTTATTATGACGTACTATATGCCATTGTCCCGTAATTTTAAAATTAATGAGCCAATTCGACAAGATTCGGTACAGCTCTGCTTCGTATACACTCTCTCTGGGTACAGATTCATTTTTAACGTTATTCACATTCACATTCACATACGCCCTCTTGAATGAACGTAAGGATGCCAAATTCATGTATTCTCTATCAAACGTACAGACAGCCTGTTTCAAGATCTCGAAAATATCTAGATTATGTGAAGAAGAACGATAAGGTACTTCGACTTTCGGGGAGGAGGGAAACACCTTAGGTATTATTTCTCGAAGGACTAGCCAGCGCACTAAGGGGGAGGAAATCTTGAAGGTGTTAGTTTCTTCCCCAGGAACTAGGACTCCTTCAGCTGCGAGGAATAAAGCCAAATCCTTTTCGTCAGAAGAGACACGTACAGGGTCGATATTCGCTAGGAAGTTTGATTGAAAGAGTTTCACAGCACACTTTGAATTATCCCTCAGAAGAGCGTTCTTCATCCTCCTAAATGTTGAATACTCTGTAATCTCATCCCCCAGTAAAAAGGCTGAGAAACGTTGCCATGTGTCATGGTTTAAGTGCACTCCCCCAACTAGTTCCTTCATAAGCTTCTCATAAATGGCGCGCCCACATAGGCAGACGAGACCAGCGTGGCTGTTAAAAAATGTAAGTATCATGGAAATGATGAGTCTTAGTAAAAAAAAATACTTCATGAAATCTAGTCACATACCCGTTTGTCTGCATATATATGTCCTCAATAATTTTTGGGTCAATGGTTATCTGTTCTTCTTTCATAAATTCATCGTATAATGTTTGTACTTGTTCTCGAGTAAAATTTGGGTTTTGAAATGGTGCCTGGACGTTGAAAGGCGATATAGTCAACTCATTCGGATTCAGGTATAAAATACTAAACGGACCGATGGCAACAATAGAGAAGATAGCGAATGAGTTTCTGCTGTTTTTGATGCCACGAATGATCTTCAGACATGAGTTGAGAACAACCTCTGTTGCAGTGTACATATGATCAAACTCATCAAAAAGAAGAACAACATTATTGCGTTGCTCCCACTGATCGCGCTGAAATGCCTCGAGAAAACTCTGGTCAGAATTGATTTTAGAAATAGAAATGCCATTCTCACGAGCATCGCGATGGAGAGTCATTCCGAGTGTTTGCCAGAAGGTGTGTACATCCTCCTCGACCTGGACATGTTCAAAAGACGCACTATTCCATAAACAAAGAGAGCACAATGATGGTCAGCTTGCAAACCCACACTTATTATTGAACAAGGTCCATACTTACTAAATGCAAACAAATCCTTCGTTTCGCAACTGGTCCTGAACTGCAAGCACCCGTGTAGACTTTCCCGAGGCTCGTGGCCCGTGTAGTGCTACAAATTCACCCCGATGAATTAACTCCAGAAGTGGGCCATTCCATTCTGTCGGGTCCGCATAATAGACTACAGAGCGCAATTCTCGCGTAATCGCACTATTTACCAGCCATTTCCTTTTTTTCGGTGCTGTAAAAGTAACAACTTAAGAAGAGTTAGTGAAGGAACAACGGCATTATTGAGTGATATGGAGCAAAGTTAACTCTGTATATCTTACGCTCTCCCTCCGCCTTCCTTTTCCCCCGTTCTGATATCAGCGAGGCACAAGTTAATAAATGAAATTAGTACTGTCTCACAAAAGGAGAACAAGACAAAAGTCGATTGTATGGAATGAGTTATATTGGCGACACTACTCTATGTCCCCAACGCCCGAATCACAAAGTCATTACCTGGCTGAGTGGTCAATCTCTCTTGCAATAACATTACCTGGTCACTCCACTTCTGCTTGCTCTCCTCCAGTCTCTTCTTCTTCGCAGCCAGCTCGTCCTTCTCCTTCTCCCATCTTTGCTGCTGCGTCGCAGTTCCTTCTCCTCTCCACAACTTCATTGTCAACTTTGCAAGCCACTGCCCATCATCTCCCTTCTTGAACTCCCGCAATTCGTTTTTCGCCTCTTCCAGCTGCTCCTTCGCTTCCTTCAACTCTCGTTCAATTTTCTCAATATTTGCTATTTTTTTTTGTTGATGGAAAGATGTGTTGATGTTAATATACACAGTAACTCTCTTTATAGTGTAACAAAAAAATTTAATAGTAAAAAATTTTCAAAAATCCACTATATCAAGAGTTTATTAGTAAATTTACTATATCGAATGGATTTTATTAAAGGTAGTTTTGGATATTATCCACTATATCACAAGTTTAATTAGTCTCCACTATAAAGGAGGTACACTATAAAGAGAGCCACTGTGCACGCAATTAACATTTAGATCAATATGATAAAGAAATGTGTAAAAAGATAATATTTATAGGTTTTTATTAGAAGAAATATTAATTAATCTATTTAATCTAATTGATCTTATATTATAATAATTTTAAGATTTATGATATTCCGCGACGAGTAGCTTTTATATAGTAATTCGTCCATCCAGACCAGTCCAGCTCAATGTTCAGACTAATGAATCATTATTACTTGATTCGTTAGTCAGATCTAATTTGTATATTCTTCTATCAGATCATTTCGAGATGGACTAGTCATTCAGTTAAATGGGAACATAAATATCTATTCTATTTTTTCGCATATTAATGCAACAAGTCAAGAAAATTTTAATATACGAATAACACAACAAATATTATTATTATAATATTGACAATTTAGATAATTTAGATGATTTTTAGAACAAAATGTTATATTAATTATACCCTTTTTTAGTAAAATATATTTGATTACCAATTTCATCATCAAAATTTTGAATGATGTTAGACAAAATCTTATTCAAAAATCTCTTCGTGCACTTATAATTATATATAAAAATCATGAAATTTTTTCCGGATCTCTGCGTGTCATAACCTCCGTGTGTTACTAATCTTATGCTTTTCATAATATCACTGAACTCGTGATCATTATCATGTGTGTTATGAGTTTGCATTATGACGTAATTTTTATATTGATATATCAATCTTTTTGCAATGATTCATAATAAAAAATAAATTTATTATAAATTCTATCATAATATTTAAGATTAAATCACAAAATTTAATTTCAAAAGAATATTAAGTTCATGAGGAAACTTGAGAATAATTGAAACTTTATGACTGAGAAAATTCTTGGAGATATTTATCTCATATTGAACTAGAAATCTATTGTTCTTATTACTATCCAGCTGATCAAAATTTGAATAGAAGATTCACTAATTTTTGGAATGTTTAAGTATTATTTCTAATTAAAATAAATTTTAATTTATAAATAATATTTTAATAGATAATATTGCTATCAATTAGCAAGATTAAAACTCTAAATTATACAAACAGATTGTTCTAGATTTGATAAATATATATTTTAAATTTTATAGAAATTGAATTAGTAGTTATAAAGATATTAAGATTCAAAGTTTAGTAATTAAATTATTTACTATATAATTTTCATATTAATTTTAATCAAATTTTATATAGTAAAATTTAAATAATAATTCAAAAAATTTTATATTAGTAGAATTTTTTTATAAAAGATATATAATAAAAATTTTTAAATTTAAATAAATTCCAATATCTAATAATTTAATTAAATAAGACAGAATTAAAATTTTATTTTAAAAAAATAATTTATTATATTTATCTAATATATTAATCTTTTATATCAGATTATATTTTTAAATTTTATAATAAACTTCTAAACTAAAAATATTATTTTTATAAATTTAATAATTTAATATATTAAAAAAATTTAAATAAGATAGATCATTATATAAAAATATTAGATTAATATTTATTAAATATAATTATTTATTTAAGTTTATTTTTATATTTTTTTATTATTATATTATTATCTTAAAATGATATTTATTTAAAAGAATATTATATTATTAATAACTAATATATATTAAAAATAATAATAAATTAAATTATTACTTATTAATAATATACAAGTATATAAATATAAATAATTTATAAATATAATTTTTTATTATATAATATATTGCTATCATAATGATATAAAATTCTCTAATTTTATAATCTTTTTTTGTTTATATAAAATTTTACTTTTCTATCATTTTATAAATTATTATATAATTATTCTTATTTTTATATTTTCTTTATTATATTTATCTCTTATAATCATATTTTTACTTTAAATATTATATTTTATGTCTTTATTTGAGATTTATATTTTCAAGCTATATGTTATATGTTTTTTATGCACTTATTAGAATAGTATATTTGAAAATTCTTTTTAATTTTTGGTAAAATAATGAAATATTAATATTTAAAAGATTAATATAATAATAATATTTATAATATTTATATTATAAATATTAATATTTATAATATTTACATAAATATCTATATAAATATCTATATAAATAGTCATATAAATATCTATATAAATATTTACATAAATATTAATATTTTTAATATTAGATTATAATTCTTTATAATAATATATATATTTAGATGGTATTAACTAATAATATTATAATAATTTTTGTATTTGAAAAATGTATAAAAGAATCTGCTATTCTAGCTTAAAATAAATAGTTTTGGATTGAATTATTTAGAAAAT